GTCTAGTCCCTAGTCTCTTACTCTCTCTGTCGTTTCTGGTTTACGAGCTTTTGGAACGGGCAGGTTTAATTCATAACAAATTTGATTTTGGGTTTAAGGATGTCAATTAACATATTTAAAGATTGATACTCTATTTATATGTATTATGCGTAATTAATTGTTGTAATGATCTGTGTAATAATGATTATTTATTGTAATTAAAATATATATAAAAATTTTCTTTTTACAAAAAAAGTTCTGATAATAATAAAGTCAACTAATAGTGTATACAGAAAACTATTTAAATATTTTGCTGAACCAAAACCAGTTTATCTGTGGCTTTACGAACAGAGCACGCGTCACATTTTTTTTAATATGATATTAAAAATATTCGGTTGACCATTGAAGCGATAATTCGGGCCTGTAATGGCATAAGACCCCTTTTTGTACCATTGTTATACTGGGGTGTGGGTCGTTGACGTTGGTCTTCCCCTATTTAATGTTTCGGATTTGCAAGATATTTTTCATCTCTTCATGATAATTATAGATTTGTCATTTCTAATCCAATTTTATTAACTTTGTTGTTATGCAAATGTCCCGCTAATCCTTATCGTCCATGCTTGACGACGTTTGTTCACTTGTTGGCGTATTCGACATTAATATTTATGTTATTGAATCAATGTTTTTTTTTGTATGGAATTTCGGATGTAAGGATAGATAGGCAATAAGTCTTTTTTTATTAAAATGTTATTACTATATGAAATTTCGAGTACATTGTTTATTGTTTTTATAATTCAGTACGGTAAAATCTAATCAATCTTAAACTTGTGCTGGTATTAAGTTGTGGTTTCCGATTACATATAATAGTAATTCAGTTTATTGTTAGCCGGTCCTATTATATTGGCAAAAAATGAAGCGTAGAATGTGTGTACCGTTAGAGAGAGGCTCACCGGATAGTTATTTGAGTTGCATTATGTAGCGACGGCAACAATCTTTAATAACTTGCTAGTTACTAGTATTGCGCAAGCGCCCTACTTTTTGCACGTGTTGTCAATAGTTTTGCAACAGCTTCCGGTTTTCAACTCTTTGATGTTCATTTGTAACTGCTCCAGAGTTCGCCCTGAATACAAAACAAAACCAAAAATCTGTTCCGTTGAAGCAAAGACACAAATAATGTTTTATTAAAACCGACACTAAGTCCATTTTAAAAATACATTTTATCATACTATTGCCATAATACAGCCGTTTTAAACGCCCACAACTATCCGACTCTTTTGTGTGACCTTTTTTGTCGAACTCAACTCGATAATGCCACCGAGAACGTTTCTACCTACTTATAATAGTTCGATCTCCACAAACTTAATCAGTAAACGACGCAGGTCTATCCCACAGGGCGTTGCTCTGCGCGATGGAATGTGTCTGATTGTGGTTACGAAATGCCATGACTCCGTGATCGACAATAATGTATTTTCAGTTCAATACACCTCTAGTTACATTCTGCGAATTAGTAGCGAATAAAATCACAATGTGAATACATTTTTTTTTTTATATTTTTTTCGTCGTTTTTCTTATTCTTACGATTCAATCCTCCTCATAGCTCTAATAGCTTCTACGTATGTGGCGGAACATTCTCCGAAGTGCACTGTTACGGCCACTCCGGAAAACACAACGGGTTCCATTGTTCTGAACAGCTCCTTATATTGCGCATAGCGGTCGACTTCATAGCCTGCTTAAGACATGGAGTGGCCAAATTCTCAGAACGACTGTGGCATTCATTAGCCCATATAAAGTGTATATTTACAGCCCACAATATATTAATATACATTACAGATCGTAAATTTACATTTAAGTATTCATAATGTTCATTAAAAGTATTTAAATTAACTGAATGAATAACTACCTCTGGTTGCATTCTCTTTTTGGTTATTGTTTGATACAAAACTGCTGAACGTGCTAAAATCTGGGTCAAGTCTTATCGCTTAATCGTCCCTTTGAAAGGAAATGAGGGTTTTAAAGTGATTCTCCACTTAACCCCGCTCATGTCACTGTATCTCATCTCAATACTTAATGTGGACATCGGAGTCATTTACAATGTAATGTCTTTTTTTAAGTTAAATGCTGACCAAAGTTATTTTATGTATGTATGTTTATAAGCATTCTTAGTGGCTTAAACGGCTTCGGCTTAGCTTGGCAGGTGTCGTTAGAGCTAAGTATAGTGACACTGGTTATAATAAACTTATAAAAAGTTGATTTAAGCGAGCAAACCGTGACTGTTGAACAAGACAAGTCTTGATTCCTTTAATAGAATAAAAATCATTTTCTCTTTTCAATTGAAAGAACCCTTTTTTATCCTTTGATTTATGATCTCTACTTTTTCAGAATGCTAAACAAATTCCAAGAAAAATTCAAGTCTAAGAGTTTGTTTTTATGAAATTAAGTTATCAGTAAAATTATAATAATAAAGTTCGAATTTAATAAAATATATTTCATGTTATATTAGATTTCTTAGTCATCTTTGACTTAAGGATAAAATTAGTCTGCCAAAAATTGCAGTACCATTAAAAAACTTAGTAGAAACTTTGAAGTACATTATCATTCTTGGGACTTTCTATTTGCAACATCATTAATCTCAGCCATAGTACCTTGTCACCCGCATCCCGTCGCCTATTACGTAACATACGAGACCAGACTTGAAGAGTTAAATTGATTAAATCCCATTAGTTGATTTCAAATCCCTTATTCCCATACTAATTATCTGCCCACCACATATTGTATGTCTAGTTAGCGAATGGAATGTTTTCTAATAACGAACTACATATTACGATACCAGATAGTGCAAACTTTCAATAATTTATATACGGTCGCCTACAGTAGATTTTTCAATCAAGTAAACTTTGTTTAAGAAAGTTTTTTTGTAAGCTATTTTTCCAGCCAATGACCTAATAAAGCAAGTTTACGATGTAACCAGTATCAATAATAGAAATATTGGACACGAATCGGATGTTCCGAGACACATTGTGGCTTTTGCCTTCCTGTGCGCATCGCGTCTTGAATACAGATAGACTCTTCAACTCCTTATTTGATATTCCTCACTTAGGTAAAGTGGTTTTTTTCTAGTTTCATATAGTTGTCAGAATATCAAGATTTTTCTACCGGATTATTTGCGTTGAATATTTAGTTGAACAATATATTTCTTTGAGTTGGCTTTGATTTCTTTTGTTTGAGGTTTTGTCATACATATGTGTATAAATTAAAATTATTCATAAGTGTTATCTAACTTATAGTGATAATAATTAGTAAAGATGAATGGTTACAAAAAATATCAAATAAAAACGCATGTAATGAGTATTATTATTATATTTAAATAGCAAAATATAAGTAGTCAAATAAAATATAACTATAAAAACTGCAAGAATATGAAGTAATTAGCGATCACGTAACATGTTATGTAAAACAAACAAAAAAATATATTTATTTCACCTGCTTGCATAAAACGATGGACAGATGCAAGGATTTTTTGCAGTCGTTTTAAACTTTTGCTTTGTGAATATAAATATGTTTTTTGTCGTGGGTTATTTTGGTAGAGTTTTTCTGTTGTTCGTTTATACATCCAATTTTGTTTTTTGATACACGTGTTGTGAAGTTTGATTTTGCTTTGTAAGTTATACATATAATTTATTTTATATTATTGTCCAAAAATATAGATACTTTTTACAGTGATGTAAATTGTTCATTTTCATAAATTATTCATGCAAATTGGACGTTTAGATAATGTTTGATTATAAAATTACAAGCAATGTATTTTTGTTCATAAAAAAAGAGATATGTATGCAATATATAAATAATTTCTATTTTATTTTAATCGAAAATCAGAAAATTCTTATTTCATCTCGATATTGCCGTAACATAATTGGTAGTAAAGCAAATAATAGCCACGAAATTGCAGATCAGGTGTAGTTGATCATGTTTGATCTTTGAAGATAGTTAGAATTAAATTATGCAATACTAGTCACCTTACGCAACGCTTATATAACCAAGATAACCATCTTCGTAATCACGAGTGAGTGGTCACTGTTCTACAAAACGTTGATTCAGATTTTCAATACGACAATTCTACAACAAGTATATGCTCATAGTAATTGTTCCTAAAAGTACTGTGGATGCAATTTTATAACATATATGTAATATAAAATTAAAATCGGAAATATGATACACATTCTCAGATTCTGTTCTCAAAATATACTGTATTAAAAATACAACCTGTAATAAAAGTTGAGTTTTTGAATCGATATTATTGCTGTTTGTATAATATTGATTAAATTAGAAATAAGGTAAAGTGCTAATAAGCTTGCAGTGTAACAAAATAAAACGCGCTTCCAAAACAAAAGGCGACTCAAACTCCAACAATCATAATCAAGACAAGGTCAAATGTCCGATGCACATGGCCATACTGCGTTCACTTAGAGATGCGTTTCATTACGTGGTATCCGTTTCGGCGGCATCCAATGGACGGTCTTGGAGATAAGAGGAAGTTTAACGCATGTTTAACTGGCAGTGACTGTATCGGCGATTAGCGACAGCCTGTTGCAATAACTGCGTCCGGCTATTATAAGATATCCTTCATATCAAAGTATTAGATTTAAGCCATATAAAACTATTTTTATATACGATATTGTAAAGAAAAATCCTTTTAGTCTGATACGTTACATTACGTCGCAATTTTATTTGTTACTCAATGCTCTATTTATTAAACCTCATTCATTGTGTTCGTTTCTATATAAAGAGTTATTTGATGACAGTACTGAACGTTCCAATAAATTCGTATATTGTGACCACGTTAAATGTCTATTATGTTTTGCTTTGTGCATTTGCCAACTTTTTACAACTCATTCAAAACTTTGTTGATGATATCATTCAATAGATATTCTTTAGGCCTGCTTTAACGGTTCCAATTTCCTTCCTTTACAGACAAAAATGTAGATAAAAAGCCGTAGGTTGCGTCTACTTTAACTAAAAGTACGATGTCTATTGACCAGGCGTCACCATTGGTGCCCATCAAACCTCAGATTGCGTTGCAGAACAGTGCGTTTATAAAGAACAGTCATAATCGCAGCAGTTTCTGTGGCGTGACACCATCACCCACCAATGGAAACAGGACATTTAAAACTTTCTCCGTGAATCGTAAGAGTTGGAGTGGAAACGTTACCCTTCCACTTCAACAGTTCGCCGTGGATGAACCGGCGCCGAAGCTCGGGACATTTAGATCTGGTACAGGAACTTTCCCTAGAAACCGGGAGCGGAACAATAACGGAGCTTCCAACGGAATATTAACACCTAACGGGAACTCAGTTCAGACGCTCAGAGGAAATGAAGTGAGGAGAAGCGGATGTACTAACGGCCGTCGCTACGCTGAGATAGGAAACTGGAGTAAAAGGTAAGTTTAAAGTGTTATAAAACGGTATATTGTTCCAGAGTTATCAGTATCTGCATCTATAATTTATTAGAGTTTGTAAAACAATATGGTCGGTACTTTTTATTAAGATTTATGTGATGTTGTTTTGCATTTGCAAAAAGAAAAACAAAAATAAGATTGAAATAAGACAGCAAAATAACCTTATAAAAATATGTTATATTTTCATTAATCAATATTATTCAGCTCATTATCTCGATATATCATATTCATAATTATTTATAAACCATCTAACAAGACTACCATTAGAATTGATGACGTTAAATAGGTTTATCAAAGGAATAAATTATGACAAAAAACGCCATTATCAAATGAACGTTTCTAATTGGCTTTTTAATAATAAATTCGGTATTGATTTGCAAATCTAGTAAAATGTTATTATTGATACAAGATATTACGACATTATTGGCTCATACTAATTTTATCACTGATTAAATAAAGCGCTTAAACTGTGCACGTATCACAACTTTTACTAGGCCTTATTTATTTTCTTTTTTCATCTTAAGTAATTTTGTAACAAGTTTTGCAATTTCATTCTCTCGTCGCTTTCATTTCCTCCCTTTCGTTCGGTCGTCGCTCCCTTAATATTATTTTTATTAGCTGAAAATCCTTAAGAAACATTGTTTGGAAAAAGCAATAAATATTGAATTTTATTTTAGTGGAGATATTATGTATGAGTAGATTTTTTTCGCATGTATTTTAATCCCTTACAAGTCTTTGTTATATATTTTGTTTGTTACATTATCTTTAAATGTTATTATTAAGACTAGGATTGTTGGAACTACAAGAATTATCACCGTATTTATCTAATCAGGATAACCGTTATGTTTATTCGTAGCTAGATGAAAGTTAGTCCATAATTCTCGTCCACTTAATTTGGGGCAGAGTTAGTGGTGCGATAAGTCGCCCAATAATGTGATTCTTAGTACTTTGCCTTTTTATTGGGGAGCAACTTATCTCGCCCTGATACGCTTTCACTTCCATTGACATTATCAGCCCATACCAAGTATTTATGTTTAATGATTTGTTTTATCATACAATGATAGGGAGTTCTACTACCGTGATTACTGAAACGATAGTTTTTATTTGTACAATTTCTAGAACAGAATATACATTATTTCAAAATACTATTATAGGTACATAGAAAATAAAATAGTCGTATTTGGTTCCATTGTGTTTAAGTTCTTGAACGATTTAGATATGCGAACGGTAAAAACAATTGGAATCCGTTTGCATAAATTAAGTAACTGGCCACAATATAAGAGCGGTTCTCAACGTAATATTATAATTCAACTAGCAATGAACGAGTCAAGGTTACTTGTGTGTAATTACCACGCATTGTTGAACATTTTAAAATTTCATTTGTAATCGTTTTAATTTATTACGCCTCCTGTTATTTCGTGTATCCGTTGCTTCCTCGAGATCGTTTTGATTGAACTGTATTCTTTAATGATATATAATTATTTTATTGTTCTAAAATGCGTCAATATATCTAATGTTGCACGAATAAGTATAAAGCTCCAATTAAAGTCTCTTTTATAATACAGAACAATAGCGGTCTGTGTCTACATCGTTTGTTTAGTAACAATAAACTTTATCTTAAAGCACACATTTCCTTAAACCATTGTTTTACAATCATGATTATTTCACATTTATATTTTTATATTTAATTCTTTTATAGCGGTTCATTTGATTACTTGCTTCTTTATTTTATTATTTTTACGTTTATTTCTTTGTACTTGATATTATTATATTTCTGTTATTGACATGTTTTAACTAAAAGCATACATTTGTTATTAAAATTTCACTTGCTTGATAATAAACTCCTTTTAATGATAATATTATGAAATATAATTTACATTAATTTATCATTAACGCCAGATAGTTTATACATATTTTCTTTATTTAATGTATGATTAAAATTATGCAAATGAATAAATATTTCTAAATAACGTCATTTCTGTAAAATATTATTGTATATTTTATAGTATTGTAGGATTTTAATTAAGTTTAAAACGGAATGGAAAATTAATGTGTTTTATATTTATAAACAAGTCATATAAAAGAGTGGTCATATTCGATAGCTGATCTAGATTTTCATAGAAAGAGCCATAGGCATACAATTTTCGTATATGCATAAATTTTTACTCAGAAATTATATGTAGGTATTCGTTTTTGTTATTATAATTTTTCTAAGAAGTTAGTTGATTTAACTTCCTTTAAATGAAACAATAATTTACATTTATCAAGAATCCTAAAGTAACACCCTTTAAGTACATTTTTTCGAATAATTTCTTAATTTGATTCAATATGAACAAAAATGCACTTTTAACGGAAATGCTAAATAATAATTTTCAGGTATATAAATTCAGTATTTTAATTTCACTAAACATTTTATTGTTTCAACCTATAACGAGTAGATCTTACATTAAGTTTAAATCGTGAGATTTATTTTTTATTATTAGTCTATAGCTGACATAAGTTTATTGTATATATACTTTTTAAAAAGATGTATCTTTATACAGGTAATCCGTGTTATTTAGATTGGTACCGGTATCGTACTATTAACTAATTAATAATAAAATATGGATAAAAATAGCTTCTTCTTTTATAGCGTTTCCTTATAGATTTCACCAATTTCATGTGCCAATATTATACTGAACTATATAAAGAGGGATTTATGAATGAACAGAATTTAAAAATAGCTTACAATACAGCAGTCTACTCGACGTATTTAACGTTAATTACCCAGGTAGGTGAAATTGTCATTTCTATTTTTATATTTTTTCAATCTAAAAATATTTCAAGTCAATGGTTATTTACTTATTTTAAATAAGTCCTTATAGCTTCCAAGAAAAAAATCTTTTTTATAACTGTTATATAAATCATATCAAAATTGACATATATTAATCCATAGATAGCTTTTAATTTCATAAATATTTCTAGTTGAATGTGTCAATATCATAATAAAAGGACTTAAAAAATTAAAGACTCTACGTTTTATTCTTGAAAACTTTCCGAAAACATAGAGATTACGAAATTTAGTACGATAACATTCACTAACAAGAAGAAATTACAGTAATGACACGTATATGTGAAATAAATTAAGTTAATATTGTTCAAAGTATGTTAATGAGGTGCTAATGTGGTACCAATAGATTTTATAATTATCATCAATACAGTGTTTTTATTTTGTTAACTTGTGTTACGTGTAAATTTAACAAATATTATTATATTGTTCTTATAAAAAATACACTTTACTGAATAACATAATGAATTCATAATTTTAAGCCAATATTTTTATTTAAAATAATTTCATTTAAAACTGATATTTTTACAAAAAATATTTGAACTCATTGCAGTTTGAAAATAAATTTAAATTTAATAATTTCGGAATACCATAAAAACCATGAATAACAAACTATTTCCTAAACTATGATAGATGTTAACATTTCCTAAACTATGATAGATACCAAATAGTAAAAACTAAGTACAAAAAAATACTGAATGCTAACCCCAAGTTTGATACGTCACACTACATACGCGGCGTTTAGAGTTTTTCATTCACAAATTTTTACGCATTATAGTATTGACGTAGGTTATTGAATGTGAACCAGGAAATTTTACGTATATAGTGTCTTGATGGAACTTGGACTGAGTATTCTGAGCTGTTTTGTATCTACGACACGTGCGTGATCACCAGACCGTGGTCTCTGCACCCGACTTTCCAATGAGATTCAATGTTTTGACGCATTGTACTTAAATGATTTTTTTTTATAGAATTCATCATATCATTTACTTATACTAACTTACCATAAAATACATTAACAAATGTTTAGGTAATTTGATATCTTATATATCACTACTGATCCGTGTATAGTTATTGATTGTATTTTAATCAGAAGATTGAAACGTCAGGAAATGAATTATTGGTTAACATTTAATATTTTGTTCATAATTGTTTTATTAACGTTAATTTTATTAATTACTGTAATAAAATATCGCTGTAATTATAATATATTGTGCGTAATTTTATATGATGTGATATACTTGATTACCCTTATTACAAAAACGATTTGTTTGCATATAATGTTACAATGACATGATTACACTTCGACTTAATTGTTATATAACGATAGATAATTTCCGGTATCCCTTAATTCAATGAGTTATATCCTATGGGATAAGGCCTCCGTATACCGTCTCGAGGGATGTCCATTCTCTAGACGAAGTTATTGTAATGAGCACGACAAGGATATTTATGCTTCTATATGCGTCCGGCATACACAATAAGCGAACCGTAAACGTGCATAAATAAGCAGTAAGTAACAATCGAGCAGAATCTATGATATGTCTTACACGATATCTGTACGAAGGTTATAAGTTATTATTTTATATAAGAAGATCATTTTTTTAATAAATGTATTCAAGAAATTTATTAAAATTAAAAACAAAATAAAAGTTACCTTATGATAATCATATATTTTTTTTTATGAACAATTTTGTATTACTAGAATTTATTTTTATATTTATAACAATTTTTCCTAATTGTTATGAAAATAGGACGGACGTATAGCTGACTGGCCGAATAAAAAGATATCATCTAAAAATAAAAGACCCCCTTTACGGAAAAAAGGGAATTTAATAGGCTCGGAAACCATGAAAAGGGTCTTTTAAATCCTTTCACAATAGTGTGACTTCAGGGAGAGGGAGAAAATATTTTTTTTTCGTGAAGTTATTTTGCCATCGTTAGCTTTTATACGATGACCAAGAGATCGTATTTTGTTGTGCTATTTTTAAAGCATTTTACATTACAAAAAAAGGTTTTATTCTTATGCGGAAAGGGGGATTTTAATCCAAATATTTATTTGATTTTGTTTTCCACCCACTAAAACATTTAGTACCTCTATTATATTTTATAGAGAGTACATTATTAACGTATCCTCAAATTATGTACACATTTG